CCGTGATAACAGGGTCTTCACCCGTAATTGTACGTGTAATTGGTTACATGCGCCCGTAATTCACCTCCAGCACCGTGTAAAATCCACCCGTAATCACTGGGTCTTCACCCGTAATTTTGCGTGTAATTGGTTACATGCGCCCGTAATTCACCTCCAGCACCACGTAAAATCCACCCGTAATCACTGGGTCTTCACCCGTAATTTTGCGTGTAATTGGTTACATGCGCCCGTAATTCACCTCCAGCACAGCGTAATATCCACCCGTAATCACTGGGTCTTCACCCGTAATTTCGCGTGTAATTGGTTACATGCGCCCGTAATTCACCTCCAGCACCGCGTAATATCCACCCGTAATCACTGGGTCTTCACCCGTAATTTCGCGTGTAATTGTTTACATGCGCCCGTAATTCACCTCCAGCACAGCGTAAAATCCACCCGTAATCACTGGGTCTTCACCCGTAATTTTGCGTGTAATTGGTTACATGCGCCCGTAATTCACCTCCAGCACCGCGTAAAATCCACCTGTAATCACTGGGTCTTCACCCGTAATTTCGCGTGTAATTGGTTACATGCGCCCGTAATTCACCTCCAGCACCGCGTAAAATCCACCTGTAATCACTGGGTCTTCACCCGTAAATGTTCACCCGTATCCTTGTGCTCAAATTACGGGACCCGTAACGTGTTACGGACCCGTAATTTCTGTCAAATTACGGGTGGATTGACCCAAAATTACGAGTAAAATGACCCCCCTTTTCCCAGAGTGTGTACGGCAGCCGTATGGCTTGCTGAGAATTCGAATTTACTATTTCAGCTGACAGCTCCATAGTTCCGGCATTCTGCCTACACTATTGGAGCTTATTATTGTTGCTCTCACTTTTTTCCAAGACCTTACCGACTACCCTCAAGCCTCATCGATGCTCTACCACAACGAATCGACATCGCCGCGGACCGTCACTCTCCGAGGAACAACCAGGAGCTCCGTCACAAATCAAAAAATGACGGGTAAGAAGACAAAGGCAACGGGAGATAACCTGGTCAATGCAGGAGCGGCCGAAGCAGCCGGTGAAGGGGGATCGGGCCAGATGCTGCCAGCCAACCAAAACGACATAGAAGCTGCCAGGGATACTTTGAGCGGGAACATAGACCAGCCGACTCTTCACCAGCTGCTGCTGGGCGTCCTGTCAGCAGCGCAGGCCAACGCCCCAAAAGCGCCAGCCAGGGATCCCCGGACAGCACCGCCTCGGGACCGCTCTCCTGACGTAGTCATCACAAAAGACGTGACCATCCTGCCATCCGCAAGAGAGCATCTCGCAGCAATAAGGACTGAAGTTCAAGCGAACGACGCCCCGAAGCTGACAGCCCCACTCGAGCAGCGGGAGCAGCTCGACGAAGGAATGCTAATGCTGCTAGAGACCGCCATCACCACGCTGGATGCGAACGAACCCCAGCTGGCCGTCGCGGGAGAATGCCTCAAGATCGCTCACCGCCGCCTTAAGTGCTACTCTGTTGCTCTGGCCAAGGCGGGCCCAGGAGCCAACGGTAATTTCACGGCCCCCTACGAAATCTGGCACGGCAGGCGGTGCAACTTCACCAAGCCAGAGTTCAAACCAGAGGCCATAGATTAGGGCGACATAGAGAGTGCATTAGCTAAAATGCGCAAAGTCGGTTGCGGCGGACAGGGACGGTCAGGCCGGGTCCCTCTGGCGAGGGAGAGACCGGCAGGGTGGAGTGCGGGATTCGTTTGGTAGTGCACGCCGGAACGACCGCAGCCGCTATGACCACTACGACCGGCGCAGCCACCGTGACCGAAGCCGCTCTCGCAGCCCAGCTAAGCGTGGCTGATTAGGATTCTGTTGGGGCTTGTGTTTGCTCGACTCTGGCACTGCACTGATCCTACCCCCCTCCTTTTTTCTTAAGCTCGCTCAGTGGCCCCTCCGTGCAGTTTGTGGTCGTTGTTGTTGCAGGGGCCCACAAGTCCGACAAACTTTATTGGGTTGGATCGGAGTATGCTTTGGCCCAGTCTTTGACAAGACTTGTTATGCTAAGTTGCACATCCGGTCTCTCTTCCAGACCTTCCACCGCTAGAAGATGTCGGACCAAGTTGTACCCTGGAGGGAGGTTTCTTTGTAACGCGCGCGAGCTCTTGCCCTTGGTGGTGCCTGTGATTGGCCTTGGGGCCTTATTGCCGTGTTGGCTCGGTCCTGTTGACCATGGCGGCTTCCAGGCCCAGGTGGCCGGCTTCAGGCTGGACCTGTCCTTCCTCCGTCCGAGTTTCCCTCTTCATGCATGTACCCAACAACGACAGAGAGGCATCGAACAGGTTGATGGCTCTGGTGGCCCTGTCCCCTGCGGCGCAGGTCGCCCCTGAGTAGCCTGTTCGGTTTCTGTCATCCCAGGAGGGGCGGCTTCCCACCGTTTCGTAGCCTCAGTCGCCACGAGCCCCGGCCTCTACTCATCTCCCCCTCTTTTATCTTTTGTCTCTTGCAATGCAGAGAATTTGGCCGCCACAGTACTGGGCGCACTGCTCGTCGCCACGGGTTTTAGAGCCCCTCGCCCCGTGCAGCCCCCCCCTGTCCAACGAGACAACACACAAGTGGAGACCAAGAACACCGCCAAGCGTCCTGCACCCGGCCCTGCAGAGCCCACCCGGCCCCGGACCAAGGTCGCCCGCCAAGCCCAGGAACCACATCCAGACCCAGGAGCCCCTTCAAGGAATGAACAAGCGGTCCCAGAAGGTGAGAACCTAGCACCTTTGCCTGTTGATCCGCCTTGTGAAGCCAAACCTCCTAGCACGGGTAGCAAGGATAGGCCTAAGATGCGGGGGTGCTTGAGAGCCTGTGCCGCGGTCTGGAAGGCGACAGTGGTGAACCAGCTCGTGCTGAGCTGGGTCCTGCAAGGGTTCCCTCTGATGTGGCACTCAGGACCTCCCCCCCGGCCGTACTGGGGCAAGAATCACCAATCTGCACGGGACCACGGGGATTTTGTGTCTTCTGCCATCGAGGGTTTGCTGGAGTCAGAGACCATCAAACCTTGCCAGTCCCGCCCTTTCATGACCTGTCCCTTGGGCGTCGTAGAGCAGAAAGGCAAGCTCCGCCTCATCTGGGATGGACGCGAAGTCAATAAGCACCTGCACATCCCGGAGTTCCGTTATGAGTCGCTTGTGCAGGTCCCAGGCTGGCTAGGCCCCAAGGACTACATGTTCACCCTGGACCTGAAGTCTGGCTACCACCATATGGACGTACGTGAAGCAGACTGGCGCTACCTTGGTTTTGAATGGCAAGGCCAGTTCTACATCTTTACACAACTCCCTTTCGGCCTTGCCTCCACCTGTTGGGCATTCACCAAGCTAACACGCGAGATCATGCGGACTTGGAGACGGAAGGGCTGGCGGTGCTCAGGATACATTGATGATCAGATCCACGCCCACCAGGACACCCAGACCCTCATCGCCCGCCGCACCATAATCCTCGACCTCCTTGAGCGCCTGGGGTTCTGCGTGAACCGTGACAAGTCAATGATGGGCGAGCCCCAGCCGCAAGTGAGGTACCTGGGTATGCTGTTAGATACAGCTAAGGGCGTGTACATTGTGCCTGAAGATAAGCGCACTTTCCTGCTCGACTGCATCCGCTCGGCTCTGGGAAAACGGCGCATCAAGGCGAGACAATTGTGTCTCCATAAAAGGGCAGCTTCTGTCCATGTCCTGGGCGTTCGGGCAAGTAGCCCGCCTTTACACCCAGGCTCTGGGGCAGGATATTGAGTCGCGCCACACCTGGGATACCCACATCCGCTTAGCTAACGACGCAACTGCAGAGCTCGAATTCTGGCTGTGCTGTTTCGACCGGTTTAACGGAACCCGTGCCCTCTGGGAGCCCACACAGGTGCACTCGGTCGTTTTCTGCGATGCAGCCGGGAAATCCCCCAAGCAACTCGGGGGTTGGGGTGCCTGGACGCTGATCGACGGGAAGTTGGCCCAAGCCCGCGGTAATTGGGGAGTAAGGGTCAGTTCGATGGGGTCAACGCCCCAGGAGCTCCAGGCAGTCCTACACGCACTTCAATCCTTCAACGGTCCTGCAGGCCTACGACACCAAGTCGTCCGGGTGATTACTGACAATCTCAATTGCGCCAACGTCCTCAACAAAGGGTCTGCAAAAGCCGAGGACTCGTACTGGATTGCCTGCGAAATCTTTTGGTACTGTATTGCCGAGGGTATCACACTGCAGGCGGAGTGGCGGCCGCGAGAAGAAAACACTCTGGCGGACTACCTCTCAAAGCTGCAGGACCGGGACGACTGGATGGTGAACCGTAAGGAATTTCAGAGGCTCAACACCGCCTGGGGTCCTTTTGACATTGATCTTTTCGCGTCACACACCAATCACCAGCTGCCACAATACTATTCCCGATTTTTCACGCCAGATACCGTGGGTGTAGATGCCTTTCGGTTCCACTGGGGGCGGAATTGCTGGGCGAACCCGCCTTTCTGTTTGCTACTTAAGGTCCTGCGGCACGCAGAGCTGTGCAAAGCATGCATCTGTCTGATCGTTCCCTCTGGCCGACGCGCGACTGGTGGTCCTATCTGACTCAAGACAGGAAGTGGTTTGCGCCTTGCGTCCACGGCCTAAGAGAGCTGGGCAAGGCGTATGATCTTTTCCTGCCAGGGTCTTCGGGAAACGAGGTCCCAAAAGGGTCCGCTAACTGGCTATCGCTCGCACTTCTCGTCGATTTCCAAACACCTTCCCCGCGCCGGATTGCTGTGCCCCCCGACCCTTATGACCCCCGGTTTTCACAGGAATAAGGGCACGCGCGCAGACACTGCTTGGCCAGGTGCCCTTGGATGCTAACCCAATGATCGGGGATCTAGCTCTGGTGTTGGCAAGCCAGGCGCACAAGGCGCGAGCTAGCAGCACAGTCGCCCAGTACAAGGAGCCATGGCAGGAGTTCCTAGATTGGGCAGAGCTACTATGTTGTATCCTGTAAAGGTTTTCCGCAACGGTTTGGGCGCCGAAACCTAACTGCCGGTGGTTAGCTCGTCCACTCCAATTTACCAAACTCCAATATTACTAACTAACAACCCGTCAATTCCGCGGTTGGTGCTTACAGGTATTAACTAATATTGATATTAGTTTAATTGCGGCTACTGTTAGCTGCGGCGGCTAAGCGACTACTGTTAGTCGTCCGCCATCTAAATGCCGCACTGTTGCGGAAGTCCATGGGCGCCGGCGGATCAAACGACTACTGTTAGTCGTCCGCCATTCAAGTGCCGCACTGTTGCGGAAGTGCATGGGCGACGGCGGCTAAGCGACTACTGTTAGTCGTCCGCCATCCAAATGCCGCACTGTTGCGGAAGTCCATAGGCGCCGGCGGATCAAACGACTACTGTTAGTCGTCCGCCATTCAAGTGCCGCACTGCTGCGGAAGTGTATGGGCGACGGCGGCTAAGCGACTACTGTTAGTCGTCCGCCACCTTAATGCCGCACCACTGCGGAAGTCCATACCTACGTATGGGCGGGGGTTTTACTTACGTAAAGCTGGGACCTGCGTCCCAGTTTCGTCTGACCGAGCAAGAGTAGTTCCTGCGAACTATGGCTTCTGGATTCGGCACCGCCCAGTCGTACTGGGAATCCTTATCGGCGCGAGGCCCAAGTGGAGTCACTGATGACTACTTATTCAAGACACTTGTCTCAATCGGTATCTTTCGATGCCCCCATTATGTGGTTGTGTCGTCTGAAGTCTACAACAAATCTGGTATCGAGACGGGTTCCTTACGGACCAGTCTCATCTCCGCTTCCGCACTCTTTCTTTCATTTGGCACTAGTATGAACTTCCCTAGTGAAGAGGCTACATCGGCTGATTCGGAAG